GAGATTGGCCCCGCATCGCAAGAACGTTCTATTGGCCCTGTGGTAGAGGCCGCAGAGTGGGCAACGGTTTTGTGGTGAGAAACGCAGGGGTATTGCAGGGCGAGAGAGAATACTTAGGTTAGAAGCACAGTGAGAGAAGAAACCTACATTGCACGATATACTACCTAGGTACACTTTGGATATCTAGGTATTTTGGAGTTTGGCTACTGGACGGGACGGGACTATACTATACTTCGCAACGTTACAATAATTCGCCAACGGTTGATGTACGTGATCTGGTTCCTCATCTACAATTCATGTTGTCGCCACGCTAACTCCTGCTCAGTCGGAAGGATGGCCCTGCCTTACCCCACTAGAGCCGCCACTACTGCAACCTCTCGGATATACACCAACCCTACACCACGTGCGACTGTTGAGCCTACCCCACACTCCATACACGCAAATCCAGACGGTCCTGGAAATGGTGCGACAGTCGGCTTTGAAGTAATGATCGACCTTCTTCGGCAGTGCTACGACGCTTTGAGAGACATACAGCAACTGCTAGCAAACATAGCTGAGGGTCTTCAACAGCTGAACGAGCTTCTTCGCAAGGAGTTTTCGGGGAACTTCCGCCTCGTTTGTGTAGGTCTCCTTATCGCCCTCGCTGGCTCTGTTGCGTCTGTCGCACAGGCTATAATCCAGCACAACAAACGATAAGAGGAGGTGGTCGCCTGCCAATCGAAGTTCGACGGATACACCATGCTGGGAATGACTGTCAATAAATAGCGGAAGGGAAGAAAGGGAGGAACGAAGTGCGCGCGTTCGCAAGGAACGCTGTTGGTATTGGGTCGCTGATGGCGACATGGTACTCGTTAGCTGCCCATGGGTAATTTGTGTTTGTTGGCTGGGCAGTAGGAGTTGGCGATGTTGTTAGATGGTTCTGTCAGAACACGATGTGCAGAATCATCGCCGCGATAGACTAGATTAAAGAAAGAAAACAATAAAGAATAGACTGACTTGCTAATGTTGCGGTTTGAAGGAAGAGGAAAGAAGCGAAATAGAAGTGAGCCCCCTCGTGTGCCATGACGTCGTCGCATTTGCTATGCGACTTTGACGCCCATGATAATAGGATGTCTTCGGAGAATCCGACGGGCTGGGACTACGGAGCGCTTGACTTGCAGAGAACCGGATGAGGCCTGGAGAATAAGAAAAAATGCTTTGGATAAGCTGGCAGCATCAGCTAGATCTAGATGGACGAGTGGGTTAGAATTCTGTAGACGAGTTCGTATGCTTCGTAATAGAAGTTTCTTAGCGGACGTGATGAATAAAGATGTACATTGAAATGGGCTAGAGAGGCAAACATATCTACTGTCGCATGGCGTAGGCATCTGGGTGGACTCGTCAGGCTTCTTCTAGTTTCAGAGCTAGCGTTGTGTTTTTTTGAATACTTCTTGTTGTCGCATACTCCCTAAATGTTTGTCAGATGTACACATATATACCCATATTATGTGCTAGCTGCGCACATCTCTCAATGCCGCGGATGTAAGAGCACCTCTTTCATCGTCATAAAAACCGATAATCGATGATTTCGGTTTTAGTTTAGCATGCAGCTCTTCATACGTACTCAGGTAATGTTGGATTTCACGTCGATATGCTCACTGTAATGTGCCAAACGCTCTGTGAGTACCAGCTCTCCGCTTGAGGATAGTGGACAAGAGGCTTATCAAAGATCGCTAAGATGATATGTGCCGCTATATAGTCTCAGATTATCGACACTGGAGCCAGATTTCGGTGAAGACACACGCCATTTCGTCTTTCCAAAAATTAGAGAGCCAGCCATGGGGGTAACCATATGGGGTGCGCTAGTGTTCCAGGTGTAACAACGCCGTCAGTTGGGCAGGGCTCTACGATCCCGTCGCGCCTGACTACTTCAGACTAGCGGCGCAACTGGCGCATATACCCTTCATTCGGGACTTATCCATGGATACATCCTATTGAAAGCTGGAGATGTAGATGAACAACATAAAACTTTCAGGTACACTACAAGCGGGAACAGTACACCCTGAGGACAATCACTACATCCGCAACTTTACTACAGTTCACAGGTATGTGATTTAGCCCCAGGTCCCATTGGCTATGTCGACTTGCTAACGCGGTGTTGTTAATAGACGCCTCCACCGCATGGCAATGCCAGTAAACATGGACACTCTATTGCCCACGCACGTTAAACACCGGCGCGCCAACACCCTCCCTCTCGCCTTCGATCCCAATCCCTACAAGACCCAGACGATACCACCTCGACCGGAACATACTGAAAGACCTTGGGTTAGAAGGTGGCTCGATTATATCAAGGAGAATGCCACTGTTATTGGTCTCATCCTGGCTTTCATTGGGTTGATTGTCGCCCTGATAAAGTGACGTGAGTAAATGTTGTCGATGGCGTGTGACGGATGAGAGAGAAACCCTTTCAAAATTTTGGAGAAGAAAGAAAGAGATGTTGAGGAACCTCTTTTTGTATAGCATGGCCCGCGACATCTGTTGCTACTTCTCTATTTCTGGGTGCGGAAGCGGCCGATGTGACGAGAGAGTGGGCATTGAGGGCGGAGATGGACGAGAACTTAGGAATGAGGAAGGAACACCCAACGAAACGTTTGCGAAGAACCAGAGGAAGGAAAACACTTCGAGTATATGCCGATGGAGTGCCGAACGATCCAAGATATCTGTTGTTACATCTCTGTACCTCAATTAACGCCGACGCTGATGATAAATACCAATATCAGTCCAGTCCAATCTCGCCTTGATAACCAACCTGCTGGGAGCAATGGCATTCCCTCATCACCCTTCTTTCCAAAATCCCTCACCAACCTACTCAACGCCCTCAGCCCTCTTCCTATACCCCTCCCTCCTCTCCAAGCTCTCCGGCTCCTTACCCGCCGCCTCGATAATATCGACCTTGGGCTGCTCCTCCGTCATATCAATGCGACCCGGCCTCCTTGGCCTCAACTGAGTCCTCTGGGTAATCGGGTAAAAGTACGCCGCACGCTGCATCTTACTGTCACGCAGCGGCTCATTCGCATGTTTCTCAGGGTCGTGCAGCGCAAGCGCCACGACGTCGCCGTAAGTATCGCTGGGGTCACCGACTTGCTGACTCGTCTCGTACGTACGCACGTTATCGTATTTGAAGCATTTGCGCGGCTGGCCCTCGTCGTCTTCGGCGATGTCGAAGTCGATGTCTGCTTCGTTGGTGGGGTCGTGCGTCGTGAAGTTGCGTTTGATGCCGCGGACTTTGTTCTTGTCGGAGGGGAGGAAGTATTCGAATTGCCAGCGGGGGATTGGGGGTGGGACGGTGGGGTCCAGGCGGTGCGCTTCGCGGTCTTCCATGTACTTTTCTTGGTCTTGGATTGTTTGGCCGGCGGGACGCAGGAGCGCGACGTCGAGACGCGGGTCGTAGGATGGGTCGAGCGGGTTGTTGATCGGGGGTGCGGTGAACTTGAAGACCATGTAGCCGCCGGTGTCGGGCATGGCGTCCCAGTCTGGGAGGAGTGGGTAGGAGTCCACGAGGGTCAGGTTGGGGTTCCGGGGGTTCTTGGGCTTGTTCCAGGCTAGTCGCTCTTCGGGCGTTGATTCCGCTGCCCTGATGTTCTCGGCGCCGTCTTGGCCGTTGTAGGCATCTGCTGGGTACGCGATGTTGAAGCTCTTCAGGATGTGTCTCGCGATATTGGTAGGATCGTCTAGTGAGGTCTCTACCTGCTTTCGCTTCCTCCGCAGGCGCATCGTGTTGGACGAGTTGCTAGACTCGAACTTGGAGCCGCCGGTTGTGCTTGAGGTGACATATTCGGTTCGTCGCAGGAAAGTCGCGCCAGAGGCATTGGTCTGTGTCTTGCCGAGCTGATTCGGTGGTCGCATCAGCGCCCTGTCTGCTGTACTGAGCGGTGGCGGGTGAGGCATCGCCTGTATAGCTATTGGACGCGTCAGTCGCTGCGAGGGCTTTGCGCCACGGGTTCGCTCTTACCAGACTCGTCTCCATCGAATACCTTGGGGATACCGACTAAGTCGATGGGCATTCCCAGCTCCGCATCAGCCTCGATGTTCAGCGACTGCTCTCGCGCTAATCTCGACGCAAAGCCAGCTGATGTGTATTGACCACTCGAAAGACCAGTGTTGGGAATGTCCAGCAGCTTTGGCGGACAGGGTGGAGGAGGCAGCGCATTCGAATATCGGATTTTGGCAATGTAGTCCTGGTGGACAACAGGACGCCCGGAACTCATGATGCCGTATCTTCGCGCGCCGTCGATTTGGGGTGATGGTGGTGATTGCGCGGTTTTGGCAGGTCAAAGAAAGTTGAGGAGCTCGGAATGTCAACGCGCCAGGCAAGCCGCGCCAAGACGCGTTCCGCGCTATCACCAGGGGCCTTCGCCATGTACCCGATGTAGAATTCCACCTGCTCATGGGCGTCGCGCTTGACCTTGGAGTCTTTTTGCGAGTAGACTTTGGCTGTGTACGTTGACGCTTGGGATATTTTGTAGCTGCGGCTTGCTGGGCTGCTCGTCCAATGTGGTTGTCTACTGTACTCCAGCCCGAATCAAGACCCCGGTCTGACTCAAAGGCGCAATCCATTCTCTGGTGGTCATCTACTGCTATTCTTGATGTTAAGTCTCGCGTTTGAAAAGCGTGAACACTTAGCAGTGCGAAATCAGAAAGTAATGGAACAGGTTAACGTTCAACGTAACGACCGTGATGATAATATTAGGTAGATATTCTATAATGACCCAGCTCCTATTTACAAACACCTCTCTGCCACCCATTATCCAGGGTCCATACTGTCATACAGTCTATTACCGCGACCAATATGCATGGCTGCAGTTTCCTATACCCAAAACGCCATGTCTCATACCAGCTCCGCATCGAAGCGTGTGGGTAGTTATCAGCCGGAAGAGGTTCTACCACCTCCCGACCATCAAGCGTGCGGCTAAAACCGACAAACACTCGTCAAAGATTGTAAACATGCCAGCAAAGATCGCTCAGTTGGCCTTCTTGAGCTTGGCAGCGGCCATCTTGCGCTCGCGGCGCTTCTTGGAAGCCTCAGCACCGGCCTCGGTGTCGAAGAGCAAGTCCCACCACCTGAAGCTGCTGGCGTAGTTGCCAATGAACTTCTCGTGGTGAACATCGTGGTGCTCAGCGCCGGCCCAGAAAGGCAGGAAGTGGTGCAGACTCCATGGGAACTCGTAGCCGCTGTGCGCGTCGATGGCCTGGAACACACGTAGGCAGATCCACGCGTACATGGTCAGGATGTGGAGGTCCTTGGTGATGGCGCAGAAGACGATTGGGACTCCGACAGTACCGAAGCCGAGGATCATGACTTCAATGGGCGAGGCGTACTCGGCGGCCAGACCGAAGGGAGCAGAGTATTGGTGGTGGATCTTGTGGATGTTCTTGTAAAGGAAGGAGCTGGCGTGCATGGCGCGGTGCATCCAGTAGTGCCATGCGTCCTCGAAGACGAAGAAGATGGCAATCTGGTACGCCATCTTGTAGATGCTGGGGAAGGGGACGGAGGTCTGGAGACCGAAGTATTGGCACATGGGGTGGAACATCCAGATCTGGGGAAGCTCGACGGTGAAGTGGGACAGGAGGACGAGGGCGGCGCATTGTGTTTGTTCCCAGGTAGTGGGAATTTTTTGCTGCGGCAAGTTAGCTATCGTCGCATGGAGCTGCTAAATTGCGAAGACGTACGTGTTGGAGCTTGTATCGGTTGAAGAAGGGTATGCAGTCGATGATGATCCAGGGAAGCGCGCGTCCAAAATAGAAGAGCTCGTGGAAGACAAAGGACATGATTCCTGTCGCTAGGACATCGTTGCCCATCCATTGGTACCAAGCCATCCACATCTTCTCGAGGTAGTTGAGCTGCACATTGTACTTGGAGATCTCCTCAAAGGAGCCCCAGTAGGTGTCCTGCGCCATAGGCGTCAAGAGGGAGGTTGCGTTGTTCCTGTCATCTGTTAGCATCTAGGGTATGCGACTTCGGGGTACTTCGGAATCGGGCGTACATTGTGGGTGCTCTCAATGTCCAGCAGTAAAAACAAAGAGCGGGTGCAGAGTGCAGTTGTAGAGCGAAGGAACGACTGCAGGTTGCAGAGTGGTGAAGGAGCGATTGGCGGAGGTGCTGCAGTGAAGAAGAGCAGATGCAGCAGCAAAGGAGGCGGATTAAATTGGAGATTGGCGGCCCTGATCGACGTTCGTACCACTTTTGCCACCCAAGGTTCACTCAGTTCCGAGCGGCCAACGCGTGGGCGCAAATGCACTAGTGCCTGCCCAGAAGACGCGCCAGGCCAATTACCCTTCGCCCCTGGCCTTCACCGCCTGCTGAGCTTTCTGTTCGGCAGCGGCTCGAGTGTCCCCGGCTTCCACATCACACCAGCGCCGCCCTGCAAGGCGACTGTGGGTCGTGTCACGGTGAGCCCACCGCAGGCTGATAAAGTCGCTCGCCCTAGGTAGGCTTCTAGAACTGCGGCATGACTGGACGGCATCGGCAGTGCTAATCGCGAGAGCATGACGCGGTCGGCCCGACAAATCACATCACCACGAGTACGGCAATGTACTAAGCCACGTCCACGTTGTCACTCGACGTCTGACATCGGCATGTGGTTGTAGTCATGAGGTAATTCAGTGTAGCTATTTATTTGGGTATACGCAGCACCATCCACACGTTTCCAACATGTACTCGAGCCATCTCTCCAGACAAGGAATCCCATAACAATCATCGGCCCTACCATCATGGGATTACTACAAGTTTCGCAAAGCGTCCATTCCAATACTGTTGTTTCATCTCTGACAGAGTCTTGAATCTAGTCTCACGCAGTCGCTTGAAAGCGTGAATTTCTCGAAGAACCGTTTTCCAACTACCAGACGTGAGATGGATGCTCGTCAAGAATACTTCCCGCGTTGTAGAATTAACTCTGCGGAGGAATGGTATGAGCTGTTCGCTGGTGACCGCGTATCCGTGGAGTTCGAGCCGGATCAGGTGAGGAAAACGAGACTTGGCGAGGAGAGAGAATGTCTGGTAATCAACTGCGCAGCTGGAATCTGTCTTGCAGCCGATGAGCCGAAGTTCGGTGAGGTTCCAACATATTGGGCGTGAGTTAAAACGCTCATACTTCGGATCAAGTCTCATCGTCGACGGTGCCCTGATGTTGTCCATTGGATGCGCATGGTCCACATCTACAAAGTTGAGTTTCTGAAAGCTTGGGTGATCCAGGTATGGCCATAGTCCAGGTAGAGACAATCGTTCAGTCCCGGTGAGGTTGCGCATATTCAGGTGAATGATTTCCTTGTTGAAACCAGTGTCCGACAATATCCGATGCAGCAATCGCATGTGTCCAGCGGAAATGTAGGTGCCAATCTCGCGGTTGTAGATACGTTGGAACAGCCAACGAGCAAGATTAGTATGGGCGTAGTCGAACCCTATACTCATGATGAAAGGTTCTGAACGCGGTAACGGCTTATGAGCGCTACTTCTCGACCCAAAATGTATCTCCTCAAGTCCTTCCATAACTTTGAATGAGGAGAAGATCTTCTCGAGAAGAACCGGGGCGTAGTTAGCCCAGAACAACTGCCGTACAGGTGTAATCTGAACTTCGTTAGCACACAGTGAATTTGAACAAGGCGACTAACGGGAAGAGCGCACCCTCCCAGATCCGAGCCCGTCCTGGATGTACGACGTACCTTGTTCTGGATTTCCCGAAATTTGGCTGACTCCACGGTATAGCCGAGCCAGTGGTGTTTGTCTCGATCTCCTTTTTTGTACTCCCTTATGGCGTCCACTCCAGGGTCGATAAACTCAACGCATTGAATGCAGTCTCGCCAATGAACTATCGACGTGATCTCAAGAAGCGCTGTCAAGCCGTCTTTTGTCATCAGCACTCGAACGTGTCTGAGCCTGCGCCTCATACGTGGGCAAAGCAAATAGGCGGCGGCTGCGCGAAAGAAGCGACAGGTCCGACGTAACGCAAGTAGCTCGCGTACAGGCGAACTGGGTATGAACTTCACGATGTTTGTGATGAGCTCCATGGGAAGGTTATCGAGTGCTGGTTTAGGCGGAGGTGCAAGTACGCATGGCATCGCAGCACAGGCATCGGCCACGCCGTCGCCTGCAGTCATTGTTGTAGGTACCGAAGTCATGAGAGCACACATCGTGGTGTCGTTGAGGTGTTGGAGTGGCTCGGGAGAGCGAATTGCCTAGTTCAGAACTTGGTGTAAGGCTATTCCCGACAGTGAATGAACAACCGTTGCCCTTACTTGGCCAAAGAGCTCCACGCACATGCGGTGGCGCTTTTCTCTCTTGAGAACTCGGTGGTCCGCCTCTTCCGCTCTTGAACAGGTTTGCGGGTCTATCAATGATCGACAGATCAGCTTGGAAGCACCTGCCGAACCTGAGATCCATCCCAAATGGTCGAGCCCCATGTTGACGTACTCATAGGCTCAATAGGCGGAAGTGCGCCCCGCGGTGACCTAAATTCCCGGCTACACCTGCTAAATGTTGGACTAGGCGATGGGATGATCGGCGTCCTGAACATGGCAGGAGTCCACTCTGGTGTGCCGTCTCCGACCAAGCGCCTTCCGGGACCTGGGCTGGGCTGCTCTCTGCTCTTTATCTTGACCATCGCTCTACGGAAGAGTGGTCGCAGAAATGGTACGGAGGCTGAGATGAGGCCGACGTGCTGTTCCACTTGACTCCACATCAAAAGATCTGCTGTAGTCAGCCCTTGCTGCACATAGTCGTGCACCCAGAAAATCGTAGTGTAAAGCCGAAGGGCGGAAGCTATTACGGCCATGATACCGACGGAAAAAATAGCTATCAGCTCAAGACGGCGTCTAAGCGGCATTGTCGAAAGATTCCAAAAGAACAATATCGGTAACGTCCAGATGATCACATCCGTGACGAGGTTATAGATGGCATTGAAGATCCAGAATGGATTTGGGTTGTAACAATGAGCGTCGAAGATGTGTAGGACCCATGCTCGATACCAAACATCCCATGCGAACGCGTCGGTGATCGGAATGCACATGAGAATGGAGGCGATGATCATGGATACTCCGCCAGAGACTGTGATGGCAAGGAGTACACGGACAACGTATTGGAAGCGTTTGTTCGATGCGGCGATAGAATTGTAAACTAAGTCGATCCTGTTAGCCGAGTAGATCCTTCAAAAATGAGCGTTCCGAGGAAGAATGAAAGCACATGGGCGAACGGATAGCCGTTCGACGCGCAATGGCCGCCACTTGTGTAGTACTCGAAGCTCTCCGCGTTCATCCCTGGGATTGTGTGGCATAGAACGTACATAGCAATATCGACGTCTTGATGAGACAAAGATTGAGGATGAAGTTGACTCGGTATAGCCATATCGACAGTAGCGAGCCGGTGATTACGGGTCTCCCGGTTTCTGGCTTGTTTTTCTATGCTATGTTAGACCACAGTCATTCAACAGCTGGTAGCTACTTACATCAACCTGGCTATAATCGAGGAAATGGATCATGAAGCAATGTACCACCACTGATGGCCTAGATGTAGGAACGAATGAGTCAGTTCAGCTTCTCTGGGTTCCGCGGAGACGTTCATACCAAGTTGCGATCTGTTTCTGGTTAGCAATAGCAGCACAAGGGGTGAGCATACACTCACAAGGGCCAGAAGCATGACCCAGTCGGACGACGTGAGCTTTCCAACATAGAAATATCGGGTGTAGAATCTGAACTGTTAACCAACGTTGCGATCAGGGTTGCGAATGGCTGACGCACCTAAGGGCTACAACCACGGTCGACATAGAGGTAAGCACAAAAGCCAAGATGATAGAAAGTCGGCCATGAGGGGCCATCGAGAACGGTTCTGGAGCTTGACAATGAATCCGTTCACACGAACGGAATAGAATAGCTGACAGGAAAAAGAAACCGTGGAGGCAATACTCATGATGATGTGTAGGGGTGCCGCAGCCACTGACTATCAAACATCAACGGCAATATCCACAATGCCAATCGCGCGAAAGACGGCGTTCTCTAACGCAATCATGCATCGGCGGGAGTCCCACATTAGGATCCGAGTCATGTTCAGACTGTGCAGATTTGGGCGGGTGATGAGTCGCGTCGCCCAGGCTGACCAAACGGTGTGGCGGGGAAGTGCCGGCAGACAATGTTAGACCAAGGGTTATGCAACACCAACCGATGTGAGCAGTGCTGCATAGCTGTCAAATTGTCCCTGCTTCCCCGCACCGTACCACGCGACATTCATCTCAGCAGCAGTTTACGCGCCAGGTGTTTGGCAGGGTACGGATAAATCTTCAAAGTGAAGCTTGGGCCGTCGCCGCCTCAGACAACCCGCCAACTCAATTGATCCTGCCTCAACTGGCCCCAACATGATAGCAGCCCAGATATTGATCTCAGCTCTTTCGATGTTCTGTGCACTCTTACCGCTTTTATATCGATTTATCCCCTGCCCTGAATTGACGTAATTCGACCGATGTGTAGATGGCGAGTTTGCACTCAGCGCGTTACATTGTATATGTTGCTAGGCGTGCCATGTTCGTGACTTGGGGTTGAAACGGGTGTCCACTGTATATTTACCGGCTACTTCGGTAGTCTGAAGAAGACGCAGGCCTTAGCGACCTACCGCAGGCTTCAGCGATTGCCATGTGAGACCGAGCCCATAGAGACTTTCATGTGTGAGGAGGAGAGAAAATACCAAGGAAACCGTTCACCGTGTTGTCAGGGATCAATCAGAGTCAGCTTGGAATGTTGAGGCCCGGGGTTTGGGCGCAGAATCCAGCGTGCGCAGGCGAAATAAGAGTGGCTTTCTTCGATAAGACACCGGTGCCATGACTTGCATAGGGCTGAAAGCCGTCCGCATGAACGTGAATCGTGAAAGGTCCGAATATGATATATATGGAAGGAGATCGCGAGTAATACCGCAAGGAGAAAGTTTAGAACCTGAATCTGCTGCGAATGCGTTCTGGAAGCAAGGCGTTACGATGAGATGGTGTTGAGCGAGTCAGCTGGATCGTGGGCGGTTAGGTGGAGATTGACAGGATCGATCTTGCCGTCTCTTGGGCTGTGGCTTCCATCTCCGCTGATGGAATAGTAATCCGGAAAACCGGGCGACCAGAGCACCGTTGCCGAAACTGTGATAGGAGGCATAGAAGGATCAGTTCACAATCTTGAGGGGGACAGGATGATGTTATGAAAACTGCTCGTGGTGAGTGGCATGAAGCGAAAGGATGAAGACTAGCCCAGTGACGTCGATAACTACTAGGTCGACGCCATTAGTGATAATGGAGAACGTCCCTGAATCGATCAAATGAATTTGTCGGTTGAAGTACCACAGGCTTCAGAGAGGGTGTTCTTGAGGTGCGATGTCAGATGGGTTGTGAGGTTGCTAGAGTAGGAGCGACGCGATACCGCGGAAGCTGCCCGCGAACTAGCGCGTTTAGTGATATCATCGCCTCGAGTGAAAGTGCAGCTGTCAACCACGGTCGCGCCTGTCGCCTACGACGTTTTCACCTCGACGCTGTTTGTCACAGCTCATGCGCGAACTGCCTGCTGACCCGTGATGGCTCACTCACGTCTCTAGTGCTGGTTTTTCCCGCTTCACGTTCCTCGACCTGGCGCTGTTGCCTTCGGCGCAACTCATCACGAATTCTCCTACCCACGAGTAATCCGACGCACACCACGCACGGCGGTTCAATTCCCGCTCGAGACTCCCGGTGCCAATAGAATCGCTTTCGAAGCCCTCTTAGACTGCGACAACTGTCGTCATGTCGTCGCCCTCCGAGAACGCTGCGCTCGCCACCGCGCCTGAGATCACCGTCACCAATCCAGACAACTCGAACGATGCGACCATGCATGATGGTGGGGAAGAACTAGTAGAGGAAATACCGTCAGATGCCGACGAGGAGGCACGGCTGAAGATGCTCACGACTGGTACACGAGCGCAGGATGACTTGGAACGCGATATTGGCAGGCAGGCGGACCAGATGATGACCGAGCAGGCCGATGCACGCGACAAGAAGCGCATAGAGAAGCTCGAGGGTGAAGCAAAGCGGGCGGAAGCTGCTATACAAAAGCTCAAGAATCGTCTAGCTCTACCAGCTTTAGACACGCAGAAAGCCAAACTCCGTGGCGAGATCGCAGCATATCGGGACAAGATCGATGGCCTAGACCAGGAGATGGATGGTATACAGCAGCGTATCAACGATCGTCACAAGGCACCTGGGGTGGACGAAGCAGCAGAAGAAGGCTCCAAGGGTCCTTTACCCAACGAGAGCCGGCGAGAGTGGCTCATCCGCACAGGCAAGATCACGCCTTTCTCCAAGCTGGCGCAAGACCAGCCAGACTCAGGGACGCTGGGTGAGGTCATGTTAGATGCTGAGGCGGAGGACATGGTGACCGAAACTGCGAAAGAGCCAGTATCACATCGCAACCTCATGAAGCCTGGCTTCCAAGACGTCGAATCCAGTTCAGAGGCCCCGAGCCCGAAGCCTACGGCCCGTTCGAAGAAGCGACGAAAGGTCACTCCTGCTAGCGATACTGTAGGGTCGCGCGAATCGAGTGCGGCCCCGGGCTTTACGGATCCTGATTCAGACGATGCTTTCGAGCCTGGTATGTCGGACCGCCAGCTTGCGACCCTGGATGAGTCGGACGAGCTTCCAGATGACATGGATGAAGACGACTCATACGCAGAAGAGACTACCGGTCGTAAGCGTAAAGCTAAGGGCAAGAAGACGAAGAAGGCCAAGGCTGCTCCCGCAGAAGCTGCTGTCGTCGAAGATCTAGCAGGTGTCGATGACGGCAACGAGCGGCTATATCGGAAACGTATAGAGACTTGGTCCAAGAGCCGCGCCGCTGCTAGGAGAAAGGCCAAGGCCAATACTGGTGAGGCAACTGCCGATGAGGAGGAGGATGAAGAAGAGTGCTACCAGCCTCATCCTACTGAAGCTGACACTGAATTCGATGGCGGATTCCGCATCCCTGGAGACATCTACCCGGCATTGTTCGATTATCAAAAGACTGGTGTTCAGTGGCTTTGGGAGCTGTACTCGCAGAATGTTGGTGGCATCATTGGCGATGAGATGGGTTTGGGTAAAACCATTCAAGCTATCGGCTTCGTTGCCGGC